TTACAAATAATGCTGCTATGAACATAGTTAAACAGATATTCTTGTTGTATGAATGTGCATCTTTTGGGTATACACCTAAGAGTACAATTGCTGCATCTTGCAGTAGACTGATTCCCATTTTCCTGAGGAAATGCTGCACTGATTTCTAAAGTGGCTGTATGAGTTTGCACTCCCACCAGCAGTGGAGGAGTCTTCCCCTTTCTCCACATCCTCTTGAGCATAAACTGTCATTGGTGTTTTTGATTTTGGCCATTCTGACATGAGTAAGATGGTATCTCAGAGTTGTTTTGATTTGTATTTCCCTGATGGGTAAGGATGTTGAGCACTTTTTTGTGTGTCTTTCAGCCATTATAGATTCCTCTATTGAGAATTGTCTATTTAAAATAGTTTGTGCCCCTTTTTAAATTAGATTAGTTGGTGTTTTGGCGACTAGCTTCTTGAGTTCTTTGTGTATTTTGAAAATCAGCCTTCTGTCAGATATGGGATTGGTGAATATCTTTTCCCATTTTGTGGGCTGCCGTTTTGTCTTGTTGACTGTGTCCTTTGCCTTACAAAATTTTCTCAGTTTTAAGATGTCATATTTATTAATTGTTGATTTCAGAGTCTGTGCTACTAGTATTATGCTCAGGAAGCAGTCTTCTGTACCAATTCATTCAAGGATACCACCTACCTTCTCTTCTAAGAGGTTCAGTGTGGCTGGATTTATGTTGAGTCCATTGATCCATTTGGACTTAAGCTTTGTGCATGGCAATAGATATGGATCTATCTGCAGTCTTCTACATGTCAGCATATAGTTATGCCAGCACCATTTGTTAAAAATGCTTTCTTTTTTCCATTGTATAATTTTAGCTTCTTTGTTAAAAACCAAGTGTTCATAGGTGTGTGGGTTAATATCACGGTTTTGAATTCGATTCCAATGTTTTACCTCTCTATTTTTGTGCCAATACCAAGCCGTTTTCAGAACTATAGCTCTATAATAGAGCTTGAAGTCAGGGGTGGTGATGCCTTTATTGTACAGGTTTGTTTTGGCTATGCTGGGTCTTTTGTTTCTCCATATAAAGTTGGGTATTGTTCTTTCATGGTCTGTGAAGAATTGTGCTGGGATTTTAATGGGGATTGCATTGAATCTGTAGGTTGCTTTTGGCAAGATTGCCATTTTTATTATGTTGATCCTACCTATCCAAGAACATGGGAGATCCTTCCATTTTCTGGTATCTTCTTTAATTTCTTGCTTTAAAGACTCAAAATTCTTACAATACTGGTCTTTCAATTTTTGGTTAGCATTACACCAAAGTATTTTATGTTCTTTTTGGCAATTGCAAAGGGTGATGTTTCTCTGATTTCTTTCTCAGAGCATTTGTCATCTGTATATAGTATGGCTACTGATGTTTTTGAGTCAATCTTGTATCCCGACACATTGCTGAAGGTGTTTATCAGCTGTAGGAGTTCACTGGTAGATTTTTTCAGGTCACATATCATCTGCAAATAGTGAAAGTTTGACTTCTTCCTTTCCAGTTTGTATATAAGAAGATTCTTCTATGTATATAATAAAATACTATGTTTACAAAGAAATGCATATCTTAAATATTTTATGGTGTTATTTGTATCAGTTTTAATATTTCAGTACAAATTGCATTTATTTTTGTTGAGTTACTTTCTTCACTCAGCAGACATTTGGTCTTAGAGTACTGTCTTGTTGTCCTGTACTCTGAGAGGAAACTATGCGCTGGGTGACTAGCTGGAAGCTCAGCTGTGCTGGATACAGATAGTGACCAGCCCTGAGGATCTTATTACTTACATGGAAGTTACCTCTCCTTGCCAATATCTGCTGAGTTCTCCCAAACCCCATGATACTGTCTCTGACCTATGTCATTTCTGTTATCTATTCATTTGTAGAAATAGAATATACTCCTAATCATAGTCCACCATAACAAATAGTACAGTTCATGGTTGGGTAAGCAAGGTACTATGGACACACAAATTATCACAAAGCCAAAATTAAAACAAAAAAAAGTTAAAAGTTTGTCTTGCCCAGGCTGGTGAACAGCTGACCTGAACAAGGGGGAACTCTTGGTTCCCAGACTGATAGCTGGGAAAACAGCCTGGGACTGATCCAGACCCTATGAACCTGGGTATCCATGAGGAGACCTCAGAAATCTATGGGGCCTATGTACTAAATCAGTACATATCTCTAGCATAGGAATAGACTTTGGGAGCCTTCCACATACTGCCTGAGCAGTATCCCACAAGGGGGTGGCCTAGGACCTATCCCAAAGATATGACTGACTCTGAAGACCCCCTTATGGAAGGCCGCATCCTCCCTATGGAGCAGAAATGGTATGGCATAGGTAAGGTGTTAGTTGGGGGGGTCAGGGGAGGAGGGGAGGCAGAGGGAACTGGTATTGACATGTAAAATAATCTTGTTTCTAATTTAAATAAAAAATGGAGAGAAAGAAAAAAAGAATGTTGTCTTGCTATCTGGTATTAGGCTAATTTCTTCAAGTGCTGTGATTACATCTTTGAATGCTTTCAAAGCTCAGAGAGGCATGATGCCTAGATTAAAAAGTCAAGTCACAGGAAGCAAAGCAGAGTTAAATCAAGAAGTAAAGGAAAAGAGAATAGAGAAAAATCTGAAATAATAAATGAACATTTACATCAGAGACTCTGTTGTGCTTTCATTTGGCTGATAGCAATTATAGCTGAAGAATATTTTGTGAGCTTCATGCTTATGTCCACATTTAGGTTTCTGAAGCACAAGTATGAAATCTATCATTCTGACAGACAGGTGTTCACAATTCCCTGGCCACACTTTTTAGAATGAATTGCTTCTAACTTCATATTGGAGTTTGAAGATTGTGAAAAAGAGGGGAAAGGATGGGAACACAAACAACTTCTATTTAATAGCCAGAATAAATGTGTCCACTGTGCAGACGACTCTCCAGGCACAGTATGATGGGCTTATAATTCTGTGATTTTGCGGAAATGAAAATGCATTCCCTTTCCTTGGTTTAAAAGTTGTTCTTTTTATTTGCAAGCAAGCATGAACAAAACAATTTCTGATCAACACCAAAAGCTGTTTGGCCTCATTATATCGAATGACAAATGAGACCTTACAGCTTTGCATCGAATCAGTGGAAAAACAATTATCTGCAAAAGGAGTGGTGGGGGGTGTGCAGACAGTTTCCTACAAAATTAAAGATTCAAGGCCATGTGTCCGGAATTTGTTCCTCCCTTTAGGCAGCTCCTCCATTCCATGAAACATCTGTCTCAATTTCCGTTCTTCCTGGAGCCCACTTTTAGTCTCTGAAAAGCTAGTCTTCTGCAGCTGCCTCACTATGACAACACTGATAGAAACCATGTGTCTCTTTAGATGTACCCCAGCTTCTCAGCTGCAGATTCCTGGCCAGGCTTTACTGAATGTTCCTGGATGGCTCCTACACTATGAAGCACTTTCTCTTAGACTTCATGTTTTGAGTGATTGATAATTGGTGTGGACACATTCACTGATTCTTTGCAGAAAATCCTTAAGTTTATCTGTCGATAGGAATTAAATGCATTTTGGTCAAAATTTTCTTTGAAGAACATACTCCATCAATCATATTGGTTGCTTATTATGTTGAAGCCTAGAATACAATGGCAAAGGCATAATTCAGTGTTTACTACTTCATAGGTCAGGGCAGGACATTAACCAATGAGTAGAAATCTGGGCTAGAAAGGGGCTAGTATAAAACTGTTCCTTAAAAAAATATTACTTTTATTAGTAATGTAATGTATTCAGATCTATCAAAAGTGACATTAAAAATAAGGGAATCTTTAAAAAAAATCAGGTAGTTATATAACACCACCAATAAATAAGCAGTCTAATTATATTCTTCTTTTAAAAATGAAAGCAGTCTTTACAACATTCTGGTAATAAGTAACTGAGAAGTAATTTGTGTGGTTTTGCTCTTTTGATGACTGGAAATCAGTGTAGATGTGTGCATACTGATGTGCTCAGTAAAGAATGTAAGATTTCTGCTGATATCATGATAATAACAGACAAGAAGAAATGGGTCCAGGATGTTGCTGCTCTAAATTTCTTAAGCAAATTCCCATCTGAAACTTACAATGTCATCAAGAAAAACATATTTATCAAAAAGTAGAAAGGAGTAAACACTAGCATATACTAAAGGTACTGAAAAACGAGGGTGTTTCTATATATTCTTAGAAGCAACAACTAGTAACAGAAAAGCTGTAAGGTGAAAAGAAGTGACATTTGAAAAGAAGTATTTTGAAAAAAATATTTTTAACTGTTTTACCATTTTGCCCCAATGCCAAATCTCTCAAAAATACCATTTTTAACATTATCAAATACTGTTGCTCTATTTAGTATCCATGTGGAAATACAAGTGAGAAATGACATCCCATATTTAAATTATATAGTTTTCTCATGCCACTGTAGATTTTTCCTCAGTAGGAAGGATAATTTTCACTAAGAGGACATTAAGGGCACTGCACAATAATTGCAAGGAAGAAAAGATTTGAATTCCAGAAATGAAAAACCTAAAGGAAGAAGATACTAGTCAGTGTCTCAACAGCTATTTGAAGGAGAAGAGTAAGCTGGGCTCAGGAGTGAAGGGGACTTTTTACTTTTGTTTTGCACAGTTCCTGATTAATGTGAATCATTCCTAACAACAATGTTTTGTCACAGAGTTGTGTATCAATAGGAAACAGTAAGTGAGATACTTTTAAACCTACCAAATGAAAAAAAAATTGAAGCTGAAAGAAAATAGCAAGAAAAAATATGGCACTGAAACCATTTCTCAAGATTTGAAAAGCAAACTTAATTGAAAACAACAGTATTTGGGGAAAACATGCTACTTCAAACTGGTGGGTGAGGCACATTGTGTTGAACACAAGAACATGAGTGACATCTTGTGGCACAAAGAGACACATTTTTAAATTTGTACCATGGATGTACAGGATGATTGAAGTTGCTGTGAAATTCTGCTTGTTTTCAGACTGAAAAAGTGACTGAGAGACTTTCTGGGAACAGAGAACTCCTCACCCCAGGCCCACAGCTAGAAGACACCCAGGATGAAGACAAAGATGAAGAATCCACTCCCCGGCTGATAGATGGCTCTTCCCCACAGGAGCCAGAATTCCCAGGGCTTCTGGGTCCACACACCAACGAAGGTTAGTTAAGTTGATACTGAGTTATAACACTTTGCTACCTCTCAAAAATGTCAAGCTTCACCCCACTCCACAAGGAGTCTGTCTTGCCCATCCATGTCTGAAGAAGTTGTGGGCCCTAAGAGAAACTTATTGATGTATTGCGAAATAGTCATGTTTTCTATCAGCCTTCTAAAGATTTGTGTTTATATCCATAGATTATTGCTGTTCTCCTCCGTGGCCAGAGAAGCTTCTTATTACAGCGGGTAGTGGTAATACAGGCTCCTTAATGTTCAAAGTGCTAAATATAAGTAACTGTGAGTGTTTAGCCACAGATGGGACATCTACATGAATGCCTGCCACAACTAAGGGGTCACCTTAGAAGATGCAGCTCAAAAATAGGTTCCTAAGGATGGGAGATGCTCTAAAATGCTACCATCTGGATGCAATATAGGTGTTGTACATAAAAACTCACAGCAGTAGTTACCTACACAACATCAAGACAGTTATACTTCCAGTATGGATGAGGGCAGCCCTCCAAAGACCCTACCTCTACTAACTAGGGAGCAATTAGGTTCCTGGTGCCAAAATGAACAACATATGCAACACTAACTGAGATGAGATGGGGACACTGAGAGGAGTTAGAGAGAGTAAAGGGTTTACATGATCAAGATACATGGTTTAAATACATGAAACCTTCAAAAAAGAAAAAAATATATAAAATTAAAATGACTCGCCAATTTTCAACTCCACTCCAAAAGAAAAGTGAATAATCAAACATAAAATTCTAGAATGCTGCAATACATTTTGAAACAGGGAATTATGGTGCATTTTGTTGTCAGATATTCAATAGCTTTTATAATGCATATTTGGCCTCTTGGAAGTGATCAAATAACCAAAGGCACAGGATAGAAATATTTCCCTGGCATCATTACTTGAAATCTTTCTGTGGCATACATTTCCAAAACACAGCACTGGATGAATTAATGAAAACTCTTCCTCTGAGATCAAGCCAGCACAGTTCAAAGTCATAAGACATACTGATGTTGACTAGACCAATGATAACATGTGCTAATTGGGTATCTGCTGTGTGTGGACCATTGCAACAGCACACAGTATCCTTCCTTTACTATTACATCACCCTAGGGTGTTAATAATACTTTTTTTCTTGTCACTAAGAGATTAGAAAGTGTACTGATTTCAGGCTGCAAGTCAACTTGCTAGGATTGTAGACTGTAATTTTAGGAAAATGTTGGTTCTCTCTCTCTCTCAGTGCTAGAAAGTAGATCTCTAGAACTTACATATCCAGAATAGCCACTATTTTATATATCAGTTTCCCTTCTACATTTCCTTATGCCCTAGCAAACACTGTTCAACTCCATGCCTACATTTATTCAATTATTAAAATTGAGTTGTACAGTAAAGTTGAATACTTTCTATCCAGTCATTCACAGTGATTAATGGTATCGCCCTGCAAAACCACAAACCTATATAGTAGTAATGGTAACCTCTTTTATAAACAAGAAAACTAAAATGCTAGCATAGTATAAATTTGTGCAAAATGACCATGTGAACCAGTAGTTATGGAAAGCAGAAACATAAACAAAATCTCAGGCCACTTTCTTTGAAAAATATATCACATTCTTTCCACATAGCTAAATTTCTATGTAATAGAATGCCACAAACAGAGCCAAGAAGATACATGAACAAGGACGTGGTGAAATTCTACAAAGAAATCACCCACATAGGAAAACTAAATGTGCCCAGAGCAGTAAAAACAGTTTTGAAATTTCAGTCTTTCAAAAGCTGGCCACATGGGGCAACAGTTGTGTCCTGGGCTTTTTTTTTTTTTCCATAAATGTTTATTTAAATTAGAAACAATCTCATTTTACATATCAATCCCAGTTCCCTCTCCCTCCCATCCCCCCATCCTCCCATGCCTCCCACCGACTGACTCCCCCTTCCCACCCCATTCACTCCCCAGGGATGGCGAGGCCTTCCATGGGGAATCATCAAAGTCTGTCACATCATTTGGGGCAGGGCTTGGACCTCATCCATGGATGTAGCCTAAAAGAGTATCCCTCCATGGGAAATGGTCTCCCAAAGTCTATTCGTGCACTAGGGATAAACACTGATCCACTACCAGAGGCCCCATAGACTTCCCAGGCCTCCTAACTGACACCCACATTCAGGGGCCTTGTTAGGTCCTATGCTGGTTCCCAGGCTGTCAGACTGGGGTCTGTGAGCTCTCCCTTGCTCAGGCAAGCTGTTTCTGTGGGTTTTCTCAGGGCCTTTTTAGATATCTTTAGTTTGTAATTGTACCATTTCCCGTTCTATTTCATCCCTCCAAATCTACACATGTCCCCTTACTTTCTCTCAAATCCATGCTCTCAGGGACAGCACAGAAGCATTATACACAATCTCTTACTTATTTAATTTTTAAAGAATTTCATTCATGATCACTATATTTACATCATTGTCACAACTTACTCTCTTCTCTCAACTACTGGTTTTGCCTCTTCCAAATCTCTCTCTGTTTGATGATATTTTTCTTTAATTGTAATTGGCTATCACAAACATGCACACACATACACACACACACATACTCTCTCTGTCTATCTCTGTGTCTCTGTCTCTGTCTCTGTCTCTCTGTCTCTCTGTCTCTCTCTCTCTCTCTCTCACACACACACACACACACACACACACACGCACACACACACCACTATACATGTTTCTATAGATATAGATATAGATATAGATATAGATATAGATATAGATATAGATATAGATATAGATATAGATATAGATATATTCTCCTGAGGCCATTTAATGTTGTTCCTGTACATAATTGTGTGGGACTGTCCACTTACAAGTGGATAACCTCCCTGGGATCCCCAAACCAGAATGAAATTGATTTCTCCCTCTCTCAGCAGCCATTGACTGCATATAATTTGTATTCTAGGGGCGAGATCTTGTGAAATGTCCTATATTCATGTTGGCTAGTCTACTAGTGTTGTCATTATGCAGGACTTGTGTAGACAACCATGTTTTTGAGATTTCATGGCTATGTCTCCCCTGCCTTCTCCAAAAGACTCTCTCTAGTAGCAGGCATCCTGGTCCTCTGACTCTTATAATCATTCTTTACCCTCTTTCATAATTTTTCCTAAGATATGTAAGTAGGGATTGCATTGTAGATGTATCAGTTGTAGTTGGGTATCTTAGAGTCCATACATTTTAACCAGTTATGACTCTCCATAATAGTCACCATTTGTTGCAAACAGAAACTTCTTTGATAATGATTGAAAATGACTCTTATCTTTGGATATAAAATAAGTATTTAGAATACATTTAGAAAGTTAGAAATTATATTGGCTTATGAAAATAGCTTTAGTATGTTCTCGAGTCTATGACCTCTTGAGTAATGGAAATTTGTCTAGGTTTACAGTACCAGGTCTGTGGACAGGCCCAGTCCCTCTCTTACTCATTCCATCCCCATATTCCTGTTTCCATAGCTTGGGCACAATCCTCTTAAAAGCTATAGTCAAGTTGGTTTCAATAATCTTTTGAGAGAATAGCAACAAATTGATGTTGTTCTTATTTCCATAACTAAGAGTAAATTTAGTAATTTAAGCTAAAACTTAAATTACATTTAATTTCCAGAAAAGAGGCATACATGTATGAATGCTTAACAGCTTGGAAAATTTTTAAATTCAGAACTTATTTTTTATCAAATTAATCCAATCCAAATGGCTACAATCTATGAGAAGTAAAACAAAAATAAATCACAATCCATGTAAATATGTACAAATCATTCTGCATAATTGATGCTAAAATACAAGGCCAACATTGTAAAATTCAAATACCCCCAGGGTGGTGGTGGCACACGCCTTCAACCTAACACTAGGAGGCAGAGGCAGTTGGATCTCCATGAGTTTGAGGACAGCCTGGCCTACACAGAGAGGTCCAGGACAGCCTGGACTGTTACACAGAGAAACCCTGTCATAAAAAAAAACCTCATTTAAACCTTATTAGTTGGAATAATGAAATCTTAATGACTAGAGGCACAGCAAAGATTAACTACTTAACTAGAGTGACCAAATAGTCCTCTCAGTCTGGGTATGATTATTCCAGAGTTCCAGGTAAACTGAGATGAACTGGTGATGAGCAAGTTTGGTTTGTTTTTTTAATTTTTTAAGTTGCTTTGTTCACCTCATAGCCTTTCATCTATCCTGAAGCTCCTTCCCATCTTCCATCCATATCATACTGCCATCCACATGTATCTTTTACCCCTGAAGCTCATCAGGCAATCTCTTACTTTTCAGAAAAAAAAGTACTTTCCAGCCCTAGCATATTCACCTTCTGCCTATATTGAAAATGCCCCCTTCCTCCATTTAGTCCTAGTATATCTGATAGAATGTACATCTTCACACCTGTAGGGTGTTGATCCTTTTTTCCTGTGCAACAAGGTCCACTTTCTACTATTCCCCATTTAACATCCAACCTCTGGAGAACATTCTTGCAATCCCCCACACTGTGATCACCTACTGAGATGGCTAATTTTAGTTATCGACTGGAAAGAAATGGGAATCACCTGTAAAGACAGTCTCAATGAGGGTTATCTAGATCAGGTTCTCCTTGGGCCCGTGTGTGTGTGTGTGTGTGTGTGTGTGTGTGTGTGTGTGTGTAGAGATTGTCTTGATTGCCTCGAATGAAGACAAAACATACAGCATGAGAGTGGCTGACACCGTTGCCCAGGTTGGGGCCCAGGCTTGGATAGAAGTAGAGAAGGCTACTTGAGCACCAAGCATGTGTGTTTTTTTTTCTCTCTACCCTTGGCTCTGGATGTGATGTGACAAGATGCTCCAAGCACCTGTTGCTGTGACTTCCCTGCAGTCATGGGTTGTAACCTACAACTGGAAACTGACATAAATCCATGGTCCTTTATTTTTTTTTCTTCTTGATCAGTTTATCACAGCAGCAGAAATGAATAAAAAACACATTGCTTTACAAAAGCACAAATATATCTCAGTTATCACTGTCTTGTCCATCATTGTTTTCAGTGAATATCTCTAGAATTTTTTTTTTTTTGGTTTTCTTTCCTCCAATTTTAATTGGAAGAAAGATTATAATTTGGCATCCATTGCCATTATTACAGAGAGTTTAAAAAGTCGGAATATCCCTGCAATACCAAATTGAAGAACCTTTTCAAGCTTTACCTACCTAACAAACTAAGCTTAAATTTCCTGTCCTTTCAAACTCTCCCTCCATTTGTTGTTCGTCAATATGGCCCTATGCTCCATTTTTCATTCTTTCTGATCATTGTTTCTCTGTGTCCTTTAAAGCTTATCATTCTCTAGGTAAATACTAAGGATATAGGGGAAATGTTTTCTCTTTCTCTTTATTTTTCTCTCCCTCTCTCTGGTCCTCTGCCTGTCTTTGTCTTTGCCAGAACCATTACCATAGCCAAGCAACCACAATGCGCCATGTATAACACATCTCTTTTATCTGCAACTCATACCCTCTCATCCAACTTAGTCCTCCTTCAGTCTGACCACCCTGTCAGACAGAGTGAATTGTTGACAAATAAGATTGTACTGTAAATCTGTCCATATATAAGAGAGGGAAAGCTTCCTGAAGTACAATATGAAAGGGCTCTTACATGGATTATGGTGGCTTCCTCTGAGTTTAGCCTAAAGGACTGTCTTTGAGTCTTAGAGAAAGGTCTTTGGCAAATGTTCCTTTCTTTCCTCCTTCATATTCTTTTTTATTTTTCTCACCTACATTTCAATGCCATTTCTTTATGTATGTCCAAGGTTGACATTTACTATGTCAGAGATTCCCTTTCATGATTCTCCAATTAAGCCAAATGATTCTGTTTATATTCATATCACAAGTGCAAATATAGAGTTGTGTGGTTAGCATTCATCTTATGTAATAGATCACACAAGCCAAGCTGTGTATCTGTTTTCATCATTGTTTCAGTAGCCACCATTATATCATTTATATAAAATATATATGCATTGAATGAATATCAATTTGTATGATCTTATCTTAAAACACATTTTAATGGAATGTTTAAATTTTGAGTCATATTTGCATTGAATGCAATGATTATAAAAGATATAATCTCAATATTCATGTTTTGAAAACAGAATTCCTACTAGTTATTAAAATAACAGCCACAATATTTCCATTAAAATAGGTTTCACAATCATTGTTCTTGATGCAGGGTTGAAGCAGTGTTGTAGATTTGACTTTAATGTGCCACTTGCTAAAAATGCTTTGAGAAAATGTGAAACATATCATGAATCTCTGAGTGATATTTTAATCTGTTACTAAATAACCAGTACTGCATTATTCTTAGAATTCTTATACTGACACTAATTATTTACCTATACATTTCAGACTTCCCAACCTGCCTTCTGTGTACTTGTATAAGTACCACTGTATACTGTGATGACCAGGAACTTGATGCTATTCCTCCACTCCCCAAGAAGACTGCATATTTCTATTCGCGCTTTAACAGAATTAAAAAGATCAACAAAAATGACTTTGCAAACCTAAGTATGGATATTTTATTACGGATCTATTACAAATTACATTATTATTTATATTTGTGATTTGTGTTTGTTCATGTTTTATTTCAAAATGTTTATCTACTGACATCACTTTTTCTTCTAGGTGATTTAAAAAGGATTGATCTGACATCAAACTTAATATCAGAGATTGATGAAGATGCATTCCGAAAGCTGCCTCATCTCCAAGAGCTTGTCCTACGTGACAATAAAATTAAGCAGCTTCCAGAATTGCCAACCACTTTGACATTTATTGATATCAGCAACAATAGACTGGGAAGGAAAGGGATTAAGCAAGAAGCGTTTAAAGTAAGTTTTGGGTGTCACATAGTAGCCCTCTCTTCCCCTTCCTCACCTCTCATGGACTAGCATTTTCATGCCTCCAAACGGATTTCCTGGAACAGTGCTTCTAACTTCTAAAATAGACTTCTCTGTATTATCCCTGGAAACTTTGAAAATAAGATATATTCTGGTTCATTCTGAGAGTGGTCAAGCATGAAGAATGGAAAGTGGATCTTGAATTAGAAGTGAGTGTTTCTTGGCCTGATGGAAAAAGCTCCTGGAAGAGGCTCAAGCCAGAAAATTTAGGTTTCCTTAGAACTCGACCCAGCGACAGATAAAATGTTCAATGACTGGGCAGGGATCAGGTAGTGTTCTGTGGGCACAAGGCCATAAAGAGTCTACATGGAGTTATCCTTTGGGAACTTGTTTTGTAAGTGAATAAAACAATTTTGAATTTGGAGGTACTTCTTAGAACAATGTCACAATCCAAGAACAAAAACTAGCTTGCTTTCTTACACACTCCCCATCCCATTCAAAATTCTCCTCTAGATACAGGTTGAATGATAAGCTTTTACTTGGTCTTTGAAGGAAAATATATTACACCAGGGAGATGGCGATGGGTGGTGTGAACTTGTTCTAAAGCTTCTCTGTTAATTATTCTGTCAATGGTGGCTAAAGGGGTTATGGAATCTCATGCTAGACTGGCAAGTGTTGAAACTAGAGAGCATTTGTGGAGATAAGACACTATTTTACTATGCTGTTCTTAACATATACCAGTTATTCTTTAAATGTTGTCTTGCCTTGCTACCATTTTCCTTACTGATCAACCAGTCTTGGACTAAGAAGAAATTTTCATTTCTCCAAATGTATAAAATGAAGGAAATACTCACTATGTATCAAAAACAAATCTTAAGGATCTAATTCCAAAAAGTATTACATGGAAAAGAGCTGCCTGTGTAAATTGAGAGAGTGCACTGAACATTTGTGTTTTCTAGGAGACTGGAAACTAATTTTGAGTTTCATAAAGAAATATGTTTGCAGTCAATTTTTCCAAAATTGATTTTAATTTACTAGTGATTTAAACAACAGGGTCCTTGCAGGGACATGCTAGTTTATAAATTACTGCATGCAGGAGAAACTTCAGTAAGTCTTCCATATGAACCTTTACAGGACATGTATGATCTTCACCATCTCTATATCACGGATAACAGCTTGGACCACATTCCTCTGCCACTTCCAGAAAGTCTACAGGCCCTTCACCTCCAGGTAGGTTTATAATGATGAGGTGAACCTGAAAACTCCAGTGAGAACAATCACAAACAGAAGGGAACCATCACTAATAAATTTATCTGTCATGACATATTGACATGTGGATCATTTTTTCTGCTTCTATTTCTCCACACATTCATCCCATCAGCTAATTAAGTATTTGCACCTCATGGAGCTATCTATTCTACTAAATTGCTGGTAATTCAGTCTTTATTTTTATTATTTGGATAACAGAGATTTTTCTTTAAATCAGAAGCTTCACCTAGTGAAAAAATACACAAGGATAAACAAAGGCAAGACAAAAATCTAGCTTGATATATAGTCTTCAGAAAAACCTGTCAATTTTATTTTCTTCTAAATATCAGATTCTATGTTGAATTCACTATAGTCCAAAGGCATTCATATGTCCTGAAAAATGGCAATTCTTCAATACTTCAGTTTTAAAAACTGCATTTTTATAGTCTTTTTTTTAAAAGACAACACACACTCTTGAAAGTTTATGTTGTTTCTACTCCCGTTGAATGACATTTTATTTTTAGAGGAATAAATGGAAAAACATTTTCAAAAATGCTATGATCTAATAGTTACTAAATATATTTCATTGTCATACATATGATAACAATGTGCTCAGTAAAACATTTTTTTAGTTGTTGAAACAATTAGAGATAATTTGCTTCTTACTCACATGAAAATAACTTGCTTTATAACTATAATAAGCTTACTCAGTATTTTCTAATATTTGGTGGGATAAACAAATAGGAAAACATTCATTATTTGCTGAAGTACAATCTATTATGAGAAGGTATTTTACTTTGCACATAGTAATCTCTGGGTCCAATGATTTTTCTCTGTGCATTATGTTAATATTTACCTCTGTATGCTTCTTATTTCTTGTTATGCTTAGCATTTCCATACTTTTGTTGTATTTCTGTAAATACCTTATATCTTGATACTGCCTCTTGCATTTTTCTGACTATATGCTTTTCTTAATATATTAAGAGCTCTTACAAACAATCCCAAATAATGGAAAAGAAGAACATGTCATGACTCATTATCCTAAAGTTAATTTTATCCAAATAACAAAATTAGACTTAGACAAAGCTATCAACAGATGAGAAAACTGTAGATCAATTCATGTTATGCACATAATGTAGAATGCATGCAACAAACCAAATCTACTAACATGTATAAGTGTGACATACCATTAGAAAGTAGTATTTATTTCAAGACTAAAATAATAGTTTAATCATTATCATTGAAATGACATAAATATGCTATAACAGAATAAAACTACATGATTATTTAAATAGATACAAAAATGTAGTCAACAAAGCTCAATATCTCTTTAATAATAAATATCTGAAGAAACAAAAGCTAAAAAATCCTCAACCCAATAAAGAATATGTATTCCAAACCCCAGAAAGTTAGTATTTACTGAAGAAACACATAATACTTCCTTGATAAGCTCAGAAAGAAGATAGGGACTGTTTAGTTGTAGTATCTTATTAATATTATGTTCTGATGAGGAAAACAGAAAAATTAAATTTAACTGATAATGAACATAGAGATAACAAAAAAGTAGGTTTTCTTATTTCACTTTCAAATGACAAGATCTTGTATACATAAAATCTCAAGGAATTCATTAAAAGCTACCACAACTCAAAAGTAAGTTCAGCAATATGACAAGTTGTAAGATAATTGTGTCAATGTTAGTTATACTTCTTATATATTAGCCATAATTGTCTTGAAAAACTATATTAAGAAATTATTTTAACTATTTATCATCTATGTATTACTATCATCTATCACTGTCATCTATTATCCATCAATCTAATATCATCTATTTATCTATGTATCGTGCATCAATCTATCCTCTATTTATCATCTATCTGTCCTTTTATTCATCTGTCTATACATTGGCCATTGTATGTATGTGTGTATGTATGCATCCATCTATCTATCTGTCTATCTATCTATCTATCTATCTATCTATCTATCTATCTATCTATCTATCTATCTAATCTATCTGGTCTTTGGCACAGAGACTTACTATGTAGCCTTTGTTATTATCCTGGAATTGCTTATATGTAATACACTGACCTTGAATGTGTCAAAGTCTCATGCCTTTGTCTCCACAGAGCACAAATTTTAGTTGAGCACTATCACACACAACAAAACTATTCTCTTTAAAAAAGTCACATATCTTAAATACATAGAATACATTTAGCAAATTGATGATAACCATTGTGCAATGGCCCCTGCAATACTGGGTTGAACAAGTAGAAAGTTCTAGATAAAGTATGAATACCCTAGTAACACAGATCAGAAAACAGTGTTATAAGGATTCACATGCTTCCCAGACTCATTTACAAGTTTTTTTCCTCCATTTTATTTAAATTAGAAACAAGATTGTTTTATATGTCAATCCCAGTTCCCACTCCCTCGCCTCCTTTTCTGCCCCCCACTAACACCCTACCTATCCCATACCCTTTCTGCTCCCTAGGGAGTGTGAGGCCTTCCCTGGGGGGTTCTTCAGAGTCTTCCTTATTCTATGGGATAGGGCCTAGACCCTCCCTCATGTGTCTAGGCTATGTGAAATGGGCTCCCAAAGTGCATTCCTATGCTAGGGATAAGTACTGATTTACTACAAGAGGCCCCACTACAAGAGGCCCCATAGATTTCTGAGGCCTCCTCACTGACACCCACATTCATGGGACTGAATCAGTTCCATGCTGGTTTCCCAGGGATCAGTCTGGGGGCTAAGAGCTCCCCCTTGTTCAGGTCAGCTGTTTGATTGGTTTTCACCAGCCTGGTCTGGACCACTTTGCTCATCACTCCTCTTTCTCTGCAACTGGATTCCAGTTCAGTTCAGTGTTTAACTGTGCCTATCTGTTTCTACTTCCATCAGCTGCTGAATGAAGGCTCTAGGATGGCATATAAGTTACTCATAAATTTCATTATCAGGGTAGGGCATTTAAGGTAGCCTCTCCACTGTCGCTTAGATGGTTAGTTCGTGTCATCCTTGTAGATCTCTGGACATTTCCCTAGTGCCTGATTTTGCTTTAAACTTATACTGGCTCCCTCTTTGATGATATCTCTTATTTTGCTCTCCTCAATTCTTCCCCCTATACAACCTTCCTGATCCCTCATGTCCTGCTCACCCCTCCTCTTCTTCCCTTCACATTCTCCAAGCTCCCTCGCCCCTCCCCCCATGCTCCCAATTTGCTCAGGGGATCTTGACCCTTTCTCCCTCTCCAGGGGACCACATATGTCTCTCTTGGAGTCCTCCTTGTTTCCTAGCTTCTCTAGTGGTATGGATTGTAGGCTTATAATCCTTTGCTCTATGTCTAAAATCCATATATGAGTGAGTGCCTACCATGTTTGCCTTTTTGTGACTGGGTTATATCACTCAAGATGGTTTCTTCTAGTGCCATCCATTTGCCTGCAAATTTCAAGATTCTGTTTTTTTTTTTTTTTTTTTCTGCTGGGTAGTACTCCACTGTGTAAATGAACCACATTTTTTCTATCCATTCTTCAGTTGAGGGGAATCTAGGTTTCTTTCAGGTTCTGGCTATTACAAATAATGCTGCTATGAACATAGTTGAACAGATGTCCTTGTTGTATTAATGTGCTTCTTTTGGGTATTGCTGGATCTTGGGGTAAACTGATTCCCATTTTCCTGAGGAATTACCATACTGATTTCCAAAGTAGCTGTAGCAAATTATATAAGGAGCCCTTGGCATGGCCTAAGAGTACAGCACTGTAACAGACTATAAGATGAACATATCTCTGTATTAATCCATATTATTATAAAACCCATAATCTGTAATATTATATTACATAATATCTTAAGATCAACTGTATCATTGCAAACTGACAATAATCACCTCTACATTGAGCTAATACTCATACCTAAAACTATTTGTCAGCTTTCAAGGAAATGTGTGTTCTGTTGTTTCGGGTGTAGAAATATTGTAGCTACTTGAAAAATGCACCAAGAGTTCCTCCAATTACAAAATCTTTGAATTACAAGTCAAAGATTTTATATCTGCTTATATGGTTAAGAGACAGCAATCATATATCTCCATATAAAACTTGCACACAAATACTCATGAAACCAATTTTCACAAAAGCCCATAAAACATTGCTTTAATTGAACATGCATGGGCAATTATCTCTGAAGAAAGGTATGAAGTCCTTTGTTTATATGTGTTCAAAAGTAGTATAACTGGATCTTAAGGTAGATTTATTCCAGCTTCCCTAGGAGCATAGTGACCTACAGGTTTGCAATCCCACCCAGGAAGGCTGCTGAGTTTTGCATTCTACTGCTTTTTTGATAGTGTTTATTGGCTACAGAAGTCTGCTGTTAGAGACTTTCAAGTCTTTTATCTATAAAATCATACCACCTACAAATATGGATGTTTTGAATTTTCCTTTCTTATTTTTATGCCCCTAATCTCTTCAGTGTCTTATCCCTCTAGGTAAGACTTCAAGAACCATATTGAATATATTAAATAGGTAGATAGAATGGACAACCTTGTTTCAGATTTTAGTGAAAATGCTTTGAATGTCTGTTCATTTATGATGATGTTGGCTGTGGGCTTGCCTGTTTATGTTGAGGTATGTCCATTCCCCACTTCCCACCCCCCATCCCTGTCTTCCCTGACTTTTCATCATGACGGGATGTTGGATTTTGCCAAAGGCTTTTTTTTTGCATCTAATGAGTTGACCATGTGGTTTTTGTCTTTTATTCTGCTGATGTGATGGATTACCGTTATTGATTTATGTATCTGTTATCCCTGAATCTCCAGGATAAAGCCAACTTGATCATGGTGGATGATCTTTTTGATATATTCTTAAATTCAGTTTGCAAGTATTTTATTTAGACTTTTGTAAAGTATATTGGTTTCTATAATTTCCTTCCTTCCTTTTCTCCCTCCTTTCCTCCCTGCTTACCTGCTTTCTGTCTACACCCCCTATTGATAAATCTCACGGTATATCCCTGTCTTCCCTGGAACTAGCTATGTAGACCAAGCTGACTTCAAACGCATAGATAGCCACCTGCCTCTGCCTCGTGAGTGCTGGGATTAGAGGCATGCATCATCATGCCTAGTTGCACTTTCCTTTACAGAGATGCCACTTGCATAGATGTATCATGTGCTTTATTATCCCCAAACATAGGTCTCCATACCAACCAATAAGCTTCACACTGTGTATCTTATCTTGTAAACTCCAGAGACACCTGCAATTATGTCAAATGCTAAAATGATTTATTTTACACATGCTGCCATATTATCAGGTAACTCTTTCTAAGGGTCACCTTTAGAGGTGTCTGTTCTTTGTCCTTCTGGTACACTTCAAATTTCAAAAGAAGTCTGTTCTGTGCACATTCCCTGATGGAAATCTAGCACTATGGCCTTCCTTTTGGACTGGTGTGGTGACCGTCAGGTGGTCTCTCTGCACTCATGGGTTCCACTCTCCTGTGTAACAACTTGTGTGATATCTTGAAAGCTGAACTGAATGCGGCATCTCTGTGAGGAAAAGAAGTTAATTCGAATATGAATGTCTCAGTGTCTGTATGTGTTTCCTGTGTTTCTTCTTTGGATCTTTTTACCCCTATTTGTTTTGGCTTATTCTTGTTTTTTATTATTATTTTTAGACAGCTATTTGTTTTCTAACAAGAGAGAGAAAGGAAGAGCGTGGATTTGAGTAGGCAGGGAAGTGGTGAGGTTCTTGCATAAGTTGGGGGAGGGGAAACTGTAATCAGCATATATTGTCTGAAGCAAAATCCATTTTCAATGAAAGCAAACAAACAATAAAAAACATTGCTTTATTGGGTAACAATCCACTCTTGCATGAACAGATGAGTAGATTAATGAATATAAATACATTTAGTGCAAAACTCTCAGTTACTAGAAAATAAGAAACACTATCATATACTATAACCTACATGGTTTTTTAAGACACCACACTAAGTAAACAAATCTCTTAAGCTAACTTGAAATCTCTGCTTCCTCTTTCTTCCAGTATTCATTATTTTTGGAAATGTTCATTGTTTTCAGAAGACAACACTTTATAATTCCACATATGTAAAATGCTCAGAATATCGAAATTATAAAAACAGAAAGCATGTCAATAGCTGTCTATCACGAGGGGGAGAAAGAAGAAAAGTATATCTCCCTAACATCTGCTTCCTTAGTCTCTTACTACACTTCAGCCAGGTTGAGTTGAATGTTAATTGTGCAGAAGGAGCTCCACGCAGATGCTTGGGACTTTGTGTTTGCTTTCTCTCTTCCCTGAATGTTCTCTTGGCTCTTCCAGGCCCATGTCTTCTTGCTACACCACATTTTCTTCAAAGTTTTCATCAGTTTTAGAATCACTCTTTCTCAGTAATCTTCCTCACCTATTTATATTTCCCATGTACTCCTTACAGGTTAGAATATATTTAGTTAATTAATTCATTCCTATGCCACAAACAATGCTTGGTGTATAATAACCATATACCAAATAGTCTTGACTGATGGAAAAAAATAGAATTAAAAGAGGTGACTCAAAATGTACTAGTTTCATTCAATACTTTGAAGTGTGTTAAGTCTTATCATTTTCCTTTGTCTTTTTTAGAACAACAACATTCTGGAAATGCATGAGGATACTTTCTGTAATGTTAAAAATTTAACTTATGTTCGTAAGGCATTAGAAGATATTCGACTGGATGGAAACCCCATTAACCTCAGCAAAACTCCTCAAGCATACATGTGTCTACCTCGTTTGCCCATTGGAAGTTTCGTCTAATGTTAGAATATTAGGCAAATGTCAGAATTGTGATGCTTTTTTTAGCCAAGTGACTCATAGCTGTCTTCAGAAACAAACTCAGTATATTTCAGATGAGTTAAAAAGGTGGTATAACTATATAAAACAATAAGCTAAGGGTGTTAAGATAAAATAAGAGTTTAATAATTTAACTAAACATGAATTAGTTATAAATTTATAAATATGTAGACAGTAAATGAAATGACAACAATATTTCAGCTACTCTTACAAATCACATACAATTTGAAATTTTAGTTTATATCAAATTCAATATGTAAGAAAGAAAACATTTGAAATGAATACTTTAGATATGTTGATAAGATGTATACATTTTAGTTAAACTTTCTATTCCTTGTTTTTACTGATATATGTTTCCCACCTAATTCATTTAAGAGCACAAAGGAAATAATAAATGTGTTTGAAAACTGCATGATTGTGCGAGACAGTATTTCTTATAATCATAGTGTGCAGTTTACTAATGTCATCTATCATCTTTAAGACCTATCAACTCATTTTATACCCTTTATTACCTGAGTAGCTACCTGTATTTATCTACCTTTGAAAATAATATATGAAAAGTGCAACATGTTGGTGCTGTGATAACAACACTAATGATGAGCAAAAAGAAAACTTTATAAGGAGAATGGGTTTGTTGAAATCTTTGAAAATGAATAGTAATGTAAGTACATGGTTAAAAACTGAAATAATAGAAAATTTTTGCTTTCAGTTACAAAACTCCAAGTTCCAGTCACTGATCTTATATAACTCCATAAACATTTTCTCCCAGAAAAAATTAAAAAAATACTCCTTATATAGAAATATATGTCTGCAAATGTGATGTGTGTTTGTATATGCCTAGTATCATTACATAAACATTCATTTTTTTCAGTGCAAAATATACTAAGTATTCTGAAACTTGCTTATATAATTTCAACATAGTCCCTAAAGATATTTCCACATGAATATAGCCCCTGGCATTCTGAGATATTGTCTTCTATTCCATGGACATTCAAATGTTACATTTATATCAAGACTGTAAAAAACACCCCCCATGCTTGAGCTTAAATACCTATATACTTGAGAGTATCTCTATGGATGAAGTCATAGAATTAGGATTCTGGGTAAAATACTATTTAAGTACTTAATAAGTGTTATGAAATTTCCATAAAAGATACTAAACAAATTTTGTTCAGCCTTGAGCAGGATGGAGGTTTGGCATTGTTGCTGCACCTAGGGTTGAGTGCCGCTATCACTTATTCTCATTTTGACCGGTTATATATCTCTGTATTAACCTCTGTCTGCTGCAAGAGAAGGTTCTCTGATAAAACCTGAGAGCTACACCAATCTATAGGTATAAAAAGAAGTATTTAGGAGGCAACTTGATACTGTGTGCACTTAACAAAACAACAGTAGGTTCTCCTCTAGACTCCTCAAATACATTACAATAATTACATTTCCCCATGCTCGATATCCTTTATACACCCAATATCCATAGACAATAAAACTATTACTCAAATTGTGGAGCAGTTTTTCTAATGAGTCTCATCCTTTGGACTTTAAGTATTGTTCGACCAGATTTCAAAGTATTGTCCTAGTTAGTGTCAGATCTCAACTTGACACAACCTAGAGTCATATGAGGGAATCAGATCAGATTGACCTATGGCTGTGTCTGTGAGAGGTTTTCTTGAGATGTATAATTGATGTGGGAAAACCCCGCCTATTTTAGGCAGCATAATTCCTAGATATATCAGCTGAGCCAGTGAGTCAAGGAGTAAGAAGCCTTCCTCCATGCTTGCTGCCTCCAGTTTCCTTCCTTGAGTTCCTCTACTGAGCACACATTTTCTCAGTGTTATTATTCCTCTCTACTTTCTTAGTTCCCTGAAACTCCTGAGGTATTGCAGGATTAATACCATTTTCAAAAGGTGATAGTGAATGATACTCTACGCATGACACTATTATAAATGCATTGTCTTGAAAGGAAGAGAAACACTCTCTTTGTACTTATCATAAAATTAAGTTTCTTTTTGTAGTTTAAAATGACTTAGTGTTTCATAGATAGGAAGACCCATACCTCACAGATTTGTAAATTATCTGTATATTTTCACCAATTCCCAAGGTAAAGGAATAAGTAATTTCCCCCAAGCTCTCTCACTCCTTCACATATGATCACCTCTCTTTTCATTAACTATATACATTTGAGTAAACATATAGTTACAACCTATTGAGTCCACTTAGTGTTACTTGCATTTATGTTTTTTGGGCTGACCACTTGGTACTAGATAATCCAATGAGGGGGATTTTCATTGGAGAAAGACTGATTCTCCCTCTCTCAAGTTAATTTTCTACATCTCTTTTTCTGAGGTTGGGACCCCACGAGATTTCCCCAATCTATGCAGCGGATTCAACTGGTGTTAGAATTATTCTGGTCTTGTGTATGTAGCTATCCTCTAGAGATTTCCTTTGTAGAACTTCCCTGTCTTTTGTGGGAGACTCAATCTTGCAGCATACTTCCTAGGCCTATGGCTCTTAAAATCTTTCCACTCCATCTTCAGTGTTCCTTGACCTTTAAGTGTAAGGGTTGTATTGCACATGTATCACTTTGGGATGGGTACCCCAGAGTAAATTGTTTGTTTCATTTTGATTGGCTGTGGCTTTCTGTAAAGGCCTCCATTTGCTCAAATCAACAAAAACAAAACAAAACAAAACCTACCAACCTTCTTTGATTCTGAGTTACAAGTATACTCACTTCTTAGCTGTGGGCATAAGAATAAGTATTTAAATTGCAATTAGAAATTATACTGATTTAGATAAGTCAATAGAAAGATTTTCTCTAAGACCCATGCCCTCACTGGCCATAGTTAGTTGATTAGTTTCTAGTATCAGACATTATTTCCCTTCTGTTAAGTGCATCTTATGTCTAATTAGATAGATGTTGGGTATTGACAAGTTATAAATGTCACTATTGCATTTTTAGGGATATATTGCCATGTTTGCCTTTATTGTGGGTTACAAGAGCCACAGTTGGGTAGGACCATTGCTTTCCTTTCTTTGCAGCTTATATAGCACCTTCCAGTACTAAGAAATTAATTCTCAGGGATGAGTTTGTGAGTCAGCTCTAGCAAAAATTCTCTGAATTATGTCTGAATTATGTGGTGTCTGCAGCAACTGGGACCTATGTTGAACTCTTGGGAAGCAACCAATGGTAAAAGCAATAGTCTCTAATGTTTTGTGGGTCTCTTGGTCTCCCCTGACCAACAACTGGATGGAAGTTTCTTATGCTTGGTATTGGGATTTTTTTAGTCTGTGGCTCTTTGGAGAGCATTATAACCTCAAGCTGCGCTCTCTCTCTCTCTCTCTCTCTCTCTCTCTCTCTCTCTCTCTCTCTCTCTCTCTCTGACTGTGTGTGTGTGTGTGTGTGTGTGTGTGTGTGTGATATTTTAGGTACATATAAAATATGATTCTCTATGTCTGTTTCAAACATCTTTAGTGTTATTTATCTCTCCTGTCTCCTTCTTCTGTATTCTTTTCCTTCCCCCTTCCCAATTAAAGCCACCCCATGCCCATTTTTCTAGTCCCCCTACATAATTATATGTATCCAAACAATTAAAATGTATTTTTATTAGATCATTGAGTTTCATACATGGTTTTGATCACTTCTGCCCACTCTCCCTCCCTGAAAATCATTAACTTATTAACCTTCATATTCAAATAACTTTGTGTGTGTTTTTTAATCCTTCAAGACCAGTATCTGCTGCTCAAATATTATTGGGTATGTGGTCTGCACTGAAGAGTGATAAACTTGCCCAAGGGTTACAGGCTTTAAAAAAATTGGTATTACTTGTTTGTATGAACTTCTTTTTTAATTAAAACTTTTTTCATTTTATGTACCAACCACAGTTTCCCCTCTCCCCCCACCTCCCTCAACCTACTCCCCAATCCACTCCTCAGAAAAGGTAAGGCCTCTTGTGGAGAGTCCACAAAGCCTGGCACAGTCAGTTGATACAGGACCAAGACCATCACCCCTGAGAGGGACATAATGATTGCCCTGGGAAAGGGAAACAGATGAAATCCCATGGGTAAACTGAGGGTGGAGGGGTGGCAAGGTGGGGGAGGGGGAAAGGAACATGAGGTTACACTCTTAAAGAATACACTCTGCCTTTGCTTCTCCACACAGCTAACAACTGCCAAAAGCTCTATGGCTTGGGGGTATATCGTTTGCCTGACTCTTCTCATTCTGGGATTTGGTCTGGCATGGGTTAATACAGTTTCTGGTTTTTTTTTGTTTGTTTGTTTGGTTTTGGTTTTGTTTTTGGTTTTTGGAGACAGGATTTCTTTGTGTAGATTTGCAGCCTATTCTGGAACTCACTCTGCAGAACAGGCTGGGCTCGAACTCACAGAGATCTGCCTGCCTCTGCCTCCCCAGTGCTGGGATTAAAGGATTTTGCCACCACCGCCCAGCATTAACACAGGTTTTGAACAAGCTGTTGTAAACACTGTGAGTTCATATGTGTAATAACCCTGCTATGTACGAAGATAATATTTTCTAGTAGTCTTTCCTTCTTTCCTTCTTTTCCTTCTTTCCTTCCTTCCTTCCTTCCTTCCTTCCTTCCTTCCTTCTCTTACATTCTTCCAGCCCCCCTTCTTCAGTCATTCCTGAGCCTTAAGATACAGGTTGGTTTTGCTTTGTTCAGATTGTGACTATTCCTTGATTTTCCCTCTTGAAGTAACAAAGTATTTAAATAATTTTTGATTTTGAAAGGAGACCACAGTTGAAAGACATTTTTTAAAAGACTTTGAGTTTTTAAAAAGTCTGAATATTTTAAAGAGACGGAAATTTTAAGTGTTTGAAATTTTAAAGGCCATTGGACATTTAAAATTTAGAATGTTTATAATGTAATGTTGATATTAACATATGATCTTGGAAATGAACAATAAAAGAAAGATTTGTGGCTTAACAGTAATGTATCCCTGAGTCTAGTTGACAGAGGGGTCAACTGTCCTGGCTAGTTCCATGTCAACTTGACACAAGCTAGAGCTATCTGAGAGAAGGGAACCTGAATTAAGAAAATGCCTCCTTAAGATTGGGCTGTAGCATTTCGCCACCGACTGACCTGGAACTAGGTGAGTGAGTTTCTGCCTGCTCCCGACCCCAGGCCAGAACACCCCGACCACCCCCATCCCCCCACCCCCGCCTGTGCCTGCGGGCTTGGGCCAGACACCCCCAGGCAGGGAGGAGCTCCCAGCGCCACAAATCTGCTAGCAGCCCATTCTTCCATTCCGCCTAACGACCGAGGAACTAGGAACTAGTGAGGAGACTACCAGGAGCGTCGAGATCATCTAGAGTTGTGGACATTGAATTCCTAGCCCCCACACAC